TTTTTTTAATAGATGATATTGGTTCTAATGAACTCACGTCACCCTATATATATATCATCTATCATCGCCTTGAAAGAGATAGCCAAGTGTGCTAAATATACATTACGACTCTCGTACTTAAAGATCACAAGTTCAATTTTTATCAATATTCTATCAATCGAACTTGTAGCATGAAATGTTCTTAATACAATTTAGAGATTAATGCATAAGAGCAAAATCTTTTTAGTACACAACGAGTCTCACTCAAAACAAAAAGTTATTTAGCAACTAGTACAACTGTTCAAGACCATTTTATTCAACATGGAAGGAAATATATATATATATATATATATATATATAAAAGGTGCAATAGTGCACGTTTGCAAATGTAAGTTTCCTAGGAAATGATCTGTAAGACTTTGGAACACCAACGGTCAGAGATCAGAATCAATCATTTAGTATTTTTTTTTTTTTTTTTTGAAACCAATCATTTAGTAAGTTGAAGAGTATGGAATGGGCAAATATGTCAAGGGTTCATAAGGTGATTTTTCCTTTTTAATTACAACGATTGCAAAGAAGACTTTTTTTTTTTTTTTTTTTTTTTTGAAAAGCCAAAGAAGACTTTTCTTCATCTTTTAATTATAATATGCATGTCCTTGTCATTCCATGTCTACAACTACAATGTTACATACTTTTTACTAAGAGGAATTAGAATCCGAAATTACAACTACTTTTAAGCTTACTTTTCTTCTTCTTCTTCCACCCACCCCCTTGATTGGAAATAGAAAATAAATTATAATGACACGGTTGGTTCGCGGGATAGGCCTGAAATGACATAATATTCCCTGTAATAGGCATATTGCTTTGTTTGGTAAAATTTTTTATTCCCAAGAACATTATTTTTGAAAATGGCCTATTTCCCCTACAGGAGGGAATAGCTATTACTAGGGCCCCCATGGTATTAACATATTCCTAAGTTCTCTTAAATAGATTTTATATTTTATTTCTTATTTTACCATTTTTCTCTTTCTCTCTATCTTTCATCTCTTTCGACGCTACCAGAATGCCGATTATCTACCGCAACCACAACGAGGCCCACACCACCCTCCCCTTCATTTCAGGAGCCAGTCGATCACCAAACTGGGGACGACGATCACGCTACTGAGGCCGCCGAAAAATCCACCATCGCCAAACCTTGGGTCCGATCGCGAAAGTTCTCCGACCCTGACCGATCACCAATTGGACCACCGGACATGGTTCCTGCCTCAGCCCCATCACCATCTGCACCATCCAAATACATCCTCCATCACCGGCAAAGCCTCCATCGGCGATGCAAGGCTCGAACCCCCCGACGTCGCAATCGAAGGCCGATTGTCAATTCGGCCATGCCGGTCACTTTGCTGGGCCTCCGCGGTGATCCCGAGAGGTCGACTGGGGCCTCCGCCAGCCTGAGCGATTACCGGAACATCCATTGACGAAACTGGGACACGATTGCAATTGGCCTCCAGAGTTGTCCGATCACTCCAATTCTGACTGCGATGACCTGGGGGCAGAGGATCTCCAGCCTTGATGCAGTTGATCGCCTCTTGGGAGAAGACAAACCCTTCGCATGAAACCTTGCGTCAAAGAGGCGAGGAAGATGATTAGATTATATCACTGTGAATAATAATAATAATAATAATAATAATAATAATAATAACAATTATATATATATATGTTGTATAAGGGTAGTTATGTCTTTTACACATATATTCCATTTCTATTCCTTAAACCAATCAAACACTGGAATAACATTTCTAAAGTCTATTCTTTCACCAAACCAAACAATAGAATACAATTTCTATTCTATTCCTTACCTATTCCATTCTCTATAGAATAGTATTCCTATTCCCTTAAAATTCATTCTGAGAACCAAACATGCCATAAGAATCTCAACAAATCTATGTCCATAAAATTATAAACAGTGTTTACCTTAAGTCTTTTAATTTGAGAAACTCTCGAAAATTTGTAAATTCAAGCAAGAGAGTAATCATAATGAGTTGTCATCTAATTTGTGGACCAATTAGTTTTTTTTTTTTTTTTTTTTTTTTTTCTATAACAGCACGTTTGGTTCACTGAATGAATTTTGAGATAATAGGAGTGCTATTCCATAAGGAATGGAATAGGCAATGAATAGAATAGAAATTGTATTCTATTGTTTGGTTTGCGAAAGGAATAGACTTTACGAATTATATTATAGTGTTTGGTTGATTTAAGGAACAGAAATGAAATATGTTTTAAAAGATATAAATACCCTTATAAAAATATGTGATGGTGGTGGCGGCGGCGGCGGCGACGGCAGTGGTGATGGTGGTGGTGGTGGCGGCGGTGAAATTTAATTGCGGGGCAAAATAGGAAATAAAAACTTTAGGCTATTCCCGAGAACTCAGGAATAGCCTAATACTAGGGGGCCCACAGGAATCTCTATTCCCCTTGCAAGGGGAATAGATCATTCCTGTGAACAATGTTCCTGGGAATACAAGTGGTTACCAAACAGAGGAATAGGCTTATTACTAGGAATGCTATGACATTCCAAGCCTATTCCGTGAACCAAACATCCCATAAATGCGTATGATAGAACAAATATGTTCTCATCACATTAGATGTGTTTGGTAAATAGCTGTTAGCTGATAGCTGATTGGGTTAGTTGGTTTGACTAGTTGATAATATTAGCTGATTATAGAAAAGTGTTTGGTAAATTAGCTGTTAGCTGATAGCTGATTACATGCAAAATGACTTTCTCAAAAAATTGATCGAAAAAACTGTTTTGAGCAGCTTTTTGAATTTTAACATAAACTAATTAATCAAACACTCATATTGATTGTTTAACAAATTCAAACTGCTAATAGTGGTCTAATAAGTCAAAATTGACTGATAAGCTAATTATGTTACCGAACATGACCATTATCTATTTAATAGCTTCAACAAGATAATGATGATAAGGATGAGGATTTCTCAGTTGAGATGTTGAACATAATATAATATAAAAATATAAATATGTAATTCAACTATTAAATTAAACTTTTAATTGAGATAAACATGTCTTTTAATTTGATATTATAACCACACTCATGCAAAAAGTCATGGGTTCAAGCCTATAAAATTGAAATTGGGTGAGAGCGAGGTATGTTCAACTCTTAATTTATACTTTTAATTGAGATTAAATATATCCGACTCTTAATTTATACTTTTAATTGAGATTAAATATATCCTTCAATTGAATGCATACTTTACATTTTTGATAGTCAACAACTCAACATAGAGTCAGCTCAAAAATAACAAAATGAAATCCTTTATTCCTACAAAGCAATAGACCATAATAAATAATTAAGTCATTGTCATTAATTATGTAAAATTACACCATATAATAATAAAATATTAAATTAATGCTATAAATATTATGTTATGGGCCATTATCATAAGAATCTTCGTTTGCCTTAGTTATAGAAAATGTAAGGTTATTATATGGATGTATATATATTCATAGTGAAGGCTTAATGAAATGGAGATCTTGAGTTTGTATATTGTATTTCTCTCTCTTTTTTTTTTTTTTTACTTCTTTATATTTTATTACGGAGTATCTTGCATACAAATCTATTGGCAGTCTACCGTACAATTATATCACAGGAGATTTGGGCTAATAAGAAGGCTAAATTACACCAATTAACAAGTTTGATTCATGTATCATTATCATTTTAATTACATAAGTACGTCACCCTTCTCTAATACTTATATCATTAATATTTTTTTTTTTTTTGAAAATACTTATATCATTAATATAATTGTGTTGAATAACAAACTTAATTCTTTTCGTGTTAATCCTTGATTGAAAAGTTCCTCTTCCTCTGTCACTTGGATCAAGCTCTTCGTCAATATAAAACTTCTATAAACATACAAATTCACTCGAACTCTATTCCAATATGTGATCATAATCTATATAGAATCTAAGAGACTCAATTTTAAATTAGTTAGTACCATCTATATAAATAGTGCAAAAAGTAAAACATGAAAAAATTGCTTCCATATATAGGCCTTGTTTGTCAATTAGCGGTTAATGATTAGCTAATTGTATTAGCTGGGTTGAACAACTAGTAGTATATATTAGCGGTTTGCAGAGATATATTTGAAAAATTCAAAATATAAAGACTAAATGTGACAATATCATAATAGTCAATATATGACTAAAAATGATATTTTCTGTCCCGAAATGGGTGATCGAGTAGGTGAAACATGATTCTCGTACCATAACGTCACAAGTACAATTCACCAACACCCTCTCAATCAAGCTCGTCGCACAAGGTCTTCTTAATGTGATTTACTTTTCCTATGCAGTCTGCACTTTGCAGCTATTATATAGGAGCGGGGACCGGGAGAGTACTCTTAGTACAATTTATTTCTCTTATGTAGTTTGCATGTTATTACAAGGAGTGGAGAGCAAGGAGAATATTCTTAGTGCGTTTTATCTCTATTGTGTTATTTACAAATTACTTCGTATTAAACATGAACGAGAAAATATTCTTAATGTGGAGTACAATTTTATCTTTCTTATGTAATTTACACGTTACTACACATGAATCCAAACCCTTAAATTAATTATATGCAATCTTACATGTTATTCACAATTTCACATCCTAGAAAATCCATATAGTAATCATTAAAAGTACGTGAAGGAAAAGAAATTATTCTAAGAAAAGTAAAAAAGAAAAAAAGATGAAATGACCCCAAATGAAGCAACCAAGAAATAGGTGAAGTGGTTGACCCAAGACTGAAGTAATCATAGCAAATTAAAAACCAGACCCCAACAAAAACCAAACATCATATGCTTATCAGCACGTAGCTTTTATTTATATTATTTTTGAATTATTTATATTATTTTTGGATTATCCTATGAGAGGATGAAAGGATGCTTCCTTTCTCCACCTTAGAAGCATCCTACGAACTATCCTTAACCCCATTTTCCAACCCTTTATAAGTTCCCCCACACTCCCCCCTTCTGCACTCAATCCACACTTTCATTCTTATCTCTCCAATCTCCATAGCTTCTTAGTCACAAAAGAAAAAAGACAGAAAAAAACAGTAAATTAAGATGGCTTTATCTGGGGAAAATTGTACCCTTGAACAGATTAGACATCTCCTTCTTGATGATCCTGCTTTTAATCAACTTTACTGCAATTCTGAGCAGAATTGCTTTAACCCGCAGGTTGTGGCTTCTAGTCCGTCTAGCAAGTTTAATGAGAGGAAACCCAGTTTGAATATCGCGATTCCCAGGCCGGCGGCGGTGAACAATAAGGGGGCTGGGCAGATGCCGCCGCCGCCGGAAATTCAAGATTCCGGCGAGGTTGTTAAGAGGCACTACAGGGGCGTGAGGCAGCGACCGTGGGGGAAATTCGCCGCGGAGATCCGCGACCCGAACCGGAAGGGGACCCGGGTTTGGCTCGGGACCTTCGACACCGCCGTGGACGCCGCAAAGGCCTATGATCGGGCGGCGTTTAAGCTGAGAGGCAGCAAAGCCATTCTCAACTTCCCGCTCGAAGTCGAGAACTTCCGGCCAGAGAGCCAGCCCCAGCCGCCGCCGACTTTCGGCCAGAAAAGGCCCAGAGAAGCCGAGGAGGAAGTGGCGGTGATTAAGCAGGTGAAAAGGGAAGTGGTGGAAGAGTCATCTGAAGCGCCGCAGCCGCCGCCTGCGGCGGCGGCGGCGGCGGCTCCCTTAACGCCGTCAAGTTGGATGACGGTATGGGACTGTTCTGAAGCGAAGGGTATCTTCGAAATCCCGCCGTTATCACCAAACGTATATAACTATCATGGAATTAGGGTTTAAGGAAATCCATAAAATATTTTGTTTGAGGAATACGAAGATCCTGCACCTGACTATGGAAGCCAGAGTCTGTGGTGAATCGAAGCCCTAAAAATTAAAAAAAAAAAAAAAAAAATCCCAAGAAAAATGGTCGAATTTGGCAGTTGGTTTTCCCCAAGTTCTTTCAATCTTTGATTTTATGTTTAATTAATTAATTAATTAATGTAAATATATATAGTATATGGAGTTGTTGCATTTAATTTATTCAATTTTATAAGGTAAAAGCAGTATCCTATTATTCTCTCAAACATTTATTTGGTTCTTTATATAATAATCCTATAATAATATGAGCAATCCTCATCCAAGTGTGTATATATATTGAGTAAACCTCATTCTTATGTAATCTATAAATCACATAAGAAAGGTAAATCACAGTCTATCTGTAATAGATGAAACCAATAATATATTATATAGGAAAAAGAGTCAAATAGATCATCGAACTTTAGCTTAAAAGTCAATTAGACCCCTAAACTTTTTAAAGGTGCAATTACACCCATCAATCATTCATTTAGGTGCAATGAAGCCCAAAAACAAAGTGACCAGCAACCGACCCAAATTTGCCGAAAATTTCGCCAGTCACTTATTTTGTCGAAAATTTCGCCGGTTACTTTTTTTTTTTTTGCCCGAAAATTCGCCGGAAGATGGTCTGAACCCTAATGACCTGTTATAGCAGGTCATTAATTTGTTTTTGGGTTTCATTGCACTTAAATGAATTGTTGATGGGTGTAATTGCACCTTTAAAAAGTTTAGGGGCCTAATTGACTTTTAAGCTAAAGTTCGAGGACCTATTTGACCCTTTTCCCTATTATATATTAGTATATTAACAACCCCAATTTTGTTTTGTTCTTTAAAAAGCAAGTTAAAAAATTTTGGTTGGTTGACAACCCTACTAGCAATTGTTATACCATGGATTATGGTTCATATTGCATTGTAAACTCTGATACAACAATTTTAAACCTTCAGTGGTAACACACTTTGTACCTACACTAAACAGTTTCTGTATATGTAAACAAATAACTTGATAATTGTTGACACATAATAATGATAATTATAAATACAGAAACTATCAACGACAGATACAAAATGTGTCAACTATATATACAAAATATGAATATTAATTTTAGACTAGAATTTACAATGTAAATAGAACACTGATACATGATATAATTTGTCCCCTACTAGAACTCATGCCCAAATGGATCAATTTGCCCCTAGGGCAGTGAATCCGATCCATTGATTAGTGGACCATATTCAATTCACTTAATACTTGCTTTTAGAGCTGGAGTGAAAGTTCAATTCTTCTCCCAAATATTAAAAATTTGAGTTTAATTAGATGTAATTCATTGTATATGAGTTTAATTAGATGTAATTCATTGTATATATACGTGTACAGTTTAATATTAAATCTCAACATTAAATTAATTTGATTTACATCTTTATGAGGTTAAGGTATATTTATGAAATCTAAAATATAGTATAATAAAGTCGAGAAACTCACTTTATTATTAAAAAAAAAAAAAAAAAATCAAGTTGAGTGGTGTACTTGGATCTTTTAGCTGCTCCTTCCTTGGTGCTTCTTCCATGCATGTACGAAAGAAGCAGCTGAGCAAGTTGCAGTATTTTCCAGTACTGTGTTCTTTGGGGCCACCTCATCTCATCACCGGTGTCGTAGAAACTAGAAACAACTTACAACTTGACATGTCGTTTTCTTTTTCATTCAATTATTATTATTATTTTATATATAAAGATCAAAATCTATATATACACTGTAGAATATAATGTAGTAGTACACTCGGGAAAGTCTTAACTTGTGCATTGGACGTACGTACTACTATTGCAGATTTGCAGTTTTCATTTATTTATTTATTTATTTGTATTATTGTGTTGACTTTCAAGCATCCAACATTTATTGGTCATGGAATTTAGTAGACAGGTAAATCGCGTATTAACAAATTAAATATCTAAAAACATAATAAGTGTCAATACAAGTTATGTCCTTGATTTTTGTCCCTTTTTTATATGCTAAAAAATATATACATCTTGCTTTAATTGTTGTACATTTGATTTGTATTGGACAAAATTACCCTTACACCGTTATAACACCGTTAATATTTAATATGTCCACCAATCTTACCATACACCTACATCTATCATATCTTTTTCTTATTTTTAGTTATCATTTTATTAAAATTATCATATAACAATTAATTTAATTATAAATTATAAATTTTAATTAAATATTTATATGAATATTAAATTTTAATTATAAATAATATTTATATATATTATTTGTTTATACATATCAATATATCATATATGTGGATGTTAGCTTAGTATTATTTGTAAATTATTATTAATATATATATATATATATATTGTTTTGATCACTATATTCAAATATATGATCATTCAAAAGTATCATAACTTTAAGGAAATGTGAAATATAATTTTAACTAATTTTTTAAATTTTATTACTTAACAATATTTTAATATTGGGCATAAGTTTTCGCGCATCGCGCGTACAAAATGCTAGTATATATATATATATATATATATATATATATATATATATATATATCCATATTGGTTAACCAGTCAAGTTGTGATTGTAAGTTAAAGATAGGAGAAATTTGTTTAAGATAAGTTTATCCATGCAATACTCTCTCACTTAAAAAAGTGAATCCTACAATTATATTATCATATTTGTAATTTATGTTTCCAGAGCACAACTTAACTGATTAATCAATACAAAATAGTTTTAGAATTGTTTTGCTAGCAATGTGAACGGAGTGTGCATGACCCAAAGAAAAAATGAAATTGGTTTTGGTCTTGTTATATGCATGCACAAGCAGTTGGGATGCAATAAGAATAGTAATTAAAGAGCCATTAAAATTAAGATTCACTGCATCTAAATTTATATAGATTTGAATTGTCTTTGTCCAAATTAAATCAAACTTCCGAACAAAGACACTCACTCGTCTTTGTCCTTGAGCAAGGACAAAGATGTCCCATAGTAAGGATGAAGATAAAGTCATCTTCGTCTTTGTCCTTAATTAAGCAGCTTTTATATTCTTATTTTTTAAAATAAATAATTTTTTTATTTTTATATTATAATAATAATAATAATAATAATAATAATAATAATAATAATATTATTATTATTATTATTATTATTATTATTATTATTATATGTCAACTAGGTATTTAAATCATCAAAAAATAATGAGGTAGCATCCAAACCACTTCTAACTTGAACTTTACTAACACAAACAAGTCACATGGGGTTAATTAAAGTTCATATGTCTAATTAAAATTATTTTAATTTAATTAATGATATAATTACAGTTTTAAAAAATAATTCAAAAAGTTATTTGATACTTAAGTTAAATTCTACTCTCTCTGTCTCATTTTACATGTCATGTTTACTATTCGTTAGTTAAACAAACTCTTTATTATTTGTTTATTTTCTTTAATATTTTTAAATTAATTTTTTTTTGTTCAATAGTATTTTTAATGTAATTTTAAAATATATAACTTTTATATACTAATACTAAATTTAATATTATAAAAAAATTAAATTCAAAATAGTTCTAGTTAAATGTCATTAAACAAACTAAACATATAAAATGAAATTGAGTATGTATTAATCATTTTGGGATGAGAGTGAACATATAGTATTTATGTAACATATTAATCATAGACCCCAACGGAGGGCGGCTAAGTTAGCTAGTCGACAAGGGTGGGTGCCCACTCAATCAAGTTGGCAATAACATCGTAACTTGCAACATGGAGCTAACAAAGCTCTACATAAATATCCTTTCCAAAGTCAAGCCAGATTATTATTATTATTATTATTATTATTTGGATTTAGATATATCAACTTACACTAATTAATCTTAAGTCTCTGTCAAATATCTTATTTTCAGATGACACCTTTATAGCTCCTTTTGAGGGAATGTCACAGGATCGAACTCTTGTAGTGAGGTGACTCTCTCTTTGGACATTAAAGAAAATATAGAACAAATACTACCATTTCACTCAACAAGATAGACAAGGTCAATATAAAATAAATCTCAATCGTGATAATCGGATTCCTTCTAGATACATGTTGCTGCCCCATGGGGCAAATTATGTTGTGCATCCGTTGCACCATGCATGGTGCATACGGATGCAAAAACGACGCCGTTTTGTATCAAAACGCGCGTCCTACTTAAAAAAAAAAAAAATCAATTTCGATTCCCAGCAACAACATTATGTTGTTCATTTTTTTAGTTCATTCATTTTGAATTTTTAGTTATGAAATTATGGATGTGTAAGTATGCAATTCTGGATTTATAGTTATGAAATTATGGATGTGTAATTATGCATGGTGTAGTTATGCAATTTTGGATTTTATAGTTATGAAGTTATGGATGTATAGTTATGCAATTCTGGATGTATAGTTATGAAGTTATGGATGTGTAGTTATGCAATTCTGGATTTATAGTTATGAAATTATGGATGTGTAGTTATGTAATTCTGGATGTATAGTTATGAAATTGTGGATGTGTAGTTATGCAATTCTGATTTTTTTTTTTTTAAGTTAGACTTAGACGTCAAAACGACGTCGTTTTTGCATCCTTATGCACAATGCACGATGCATACGGTTGCACAGCATAACGATTGGCCCCATGGGATATGGGCCCCGAATGGGTTGTGGGCCTAGAAAACCAAACAAATGGGTTGGGCAAGAATTGGGCCGATGGCAGGATTCATCGACAAAGAAAGAAGAAGGAGCCCTTTCGACAAGATGAACTAGTCGAGTCACTCCAGGACTCGGCCAGGAAGGTGATCGAGACCAAGCAGTCGGCATAAGTGGAAGTCGGAGAGCCAAGTATTCATGTGACCGTTGGGCATTCAAGGCCTCCATAAATGGCCGATCAAGATGACTGTTTTCAAGGAAGATCGATAACGGAAGAAGCAACGGCTAAAAACAGTAAAAAAACACTGATAAATAAGCCTCAAAAGCCCCAAAAAGGCTTTGTATGACACACTGAATCCAAATTCCTAAATTACTTATTCATCATATCTTGTGCTTGAAAAACAAGTCATAGATTTACTTTACATTTTCCATCAAGTAGTCTATCATTTCTTATCATTTTCTCCCTATTCACCAACTAAATTCGATAGTGTTGAACCCCGGTGGGCTTCAAAAAGTTTTAAAACTAACACAGCCTTTTTCAGAAGACTCTAACGATGGGACAATATAATGGAAGCCCCAAGTGTCGGAGTCCAATTTTAGAATTATATCAATTTTTATTCTTCTTAAAATAATAATAATAAAAAAAAAACTCTATTGATATGGCATACTTTAATTAATGTAGAAAAAATGATTAAATTTTCTTTTTATACTTCTTCTAATCAAAACCGTCTGAACAAAGTGAATGAATGGATGAAACATAATTTTCATAGGGATGCGTTATAACTAACCAAATTTCATCCTCATCCACATCTATATCCACAATTAATTTGTCACATTTATGATGTATATATATGGTATATCCGGCTGAGTCATATTATGCAACATGAAAAAATCTATATCCGCTGATAGATGATTCCAGCTAAACCAGCGTGCAAACCGCTTTTTTGCCCAAACCCACTGCGCCACTGCACAAGTGATATTGCCATTAAATACATACACTTATATCACACGTATGACGTATATGTATGTATCTATATTCTATATATATGTCATATCCATATCCTGCAAGTCTCAAGATTTCAATACCCATCTTCTTCTTCTTCTACATATATACAGCAGGCATGGAAGACAGGCAGATGAATGATACATGCATGATGACGACAACAGATGAGTTCATGACGTTGGAATTGATAAGCCAATACCTCCTCGGGGACTTTGCTTCCACTGAAGCATTCATCGGAAACCTCGGCTTCTGTTTTCCCGACGACGACTTCAACGACTACCGGCCGTTTTCCGGCTCCGATAAGCCGGAATCTTCTACTTCCGTTTCGGACTCGGTCTCTCCCGTTCCGGACCTAAAGCGACCTGAATCGCCGGTCTCACGTTACCTCAACCTGGAGCTCGATTTCCCCGAGTTCGAAACCAAACCCGATATTATTGTTCGCTCCACTCCCGATTCAAGCTCGACAACGCAGAATTCCGCGGGTGCAAACAAGGAATCCGGTAACGGCGGGAAGGGGAGGCGTTACAGAGGAGTTCGGAGGAGGCCGTGGGGGAAGTTCGCGGCGGAGATCCGAGACCCGACCCGGAAAGGATCGCGAATCTGGTTGGGAACTTACGATACCGACATTGACGCTGCTAGAGCCTACGATTGTGCTGCGTTCAAGATGAGAGGTAGGAAAGCAATTCTCAACTTCCCGTTGGACGCCGGAAAGTCGGGACCGCCGGTGAACCACGGCCGGAATCGGAGGAAAGAGATCAAATCCCGAGTGAAAGAGGAGATATTTTGAAGACTTGAGATCAGTTTAGCAGTTTGAATGCCAATTATAGATTTGTGGATCTATAAAACTACGGAAGTACGTAATTGAAAGCAGCATAGTGTGGAATTATATTTCAAGTAGATTACTTACTACTTCAAAAAAAAAAAAAAACAATATTAGCATATAGTCTGTGCATTATACTGTACTATTTACCACTTTGATAATAATAAATGCAATTTGTAAATTATAATATGAGAGTGAACAAAAAATGTGTTCTCGTGTTAAATACTTAATGTAGTAAATACGGAATTTTTATTACTTTACACAGTATTGAGGTTGGTTCCGGCTACAGTTCATGTTTGCCCACTCTGATTGTTGGTTTTAAATTTTTGAGCTCGGATGACTTGACAGTGTGTCAGAGATTCTCGAGCTAAAATTTTGTGTCTAGCAATAGTCAAAAAGTCCCCCTTTTCGCAATTAGTGTGATATTTATATATAGGGAGAAAGAGTAGATTGTTAGCGGTCTCTCGACATGCGTGACATGTGGAGCACATGCATTGGACAAGCTCGGGGCCCAAGTTAGTTCGAGTACATGTCTTGAAATTCCTGATTCCGTTGGGTGTGTCGCTACTAAATTTGGGTAAGGGAATTAGGCCTTGGGTTCTAAGTGTTATAGGTCGGGTGCTCGGTCCTAACCTTATGTGTTCGGAACAGACCAATTGATACTGTCCTTTGTCTTGCCGGCCGAACTATACCAGGTCTTTATTCGGGTCGGGCCGGGTTCTCCACTAGTATAGTACTGATATTGATAAAACGTAGAAGTGTCGTTCAGTAAGGGATAATCCCCATCAATACTAGTTTCAAAGTAGCATGAATTCATTTTCTCTAACTCGTTTCAACTTACAAGAACGTAACATAGAAAAATTAAAATCCTATGAAGATAAAAAAGAACCAGTTAAGAACAATGGTGGTCCACGTTTTTGGAAATATGATAATTGTCTCACGAGTTTGGTTGTTCTTGAATTCCCTTTTCCTTTAGTTGTTCCTGAATTCCTTTGTGCCTTTGAATTGGATGCTGTTTGGTGTGGTCTGTAGATGTTTAAGTAATAAAAGGAGAATAGGGTGTGGATTGCGATATAAGCTAAGGTCGTATAGTAAGGGATAGGATGGGATATTGGGATGTATCCGGGCGGACCAGTTGTGTTTCACTTTCACTACCAGCTCAGGTTCATGAAAGTAACCCGGACGCCCAAGTCCCAACACTCACTATCATCGTATAAATGGAACCCGACCCCACTGCTTGGTTGCAACTTGCAATTTGCAAAGCATCGCTCCTACCTGCATTAAACACTGATGTCTACACATCCCAAATCCAAAATATGATGTCAACAACAATGGGCCCAACTATAAAACCACTATTATCATGCTAATTACTAATTAGCCGACTGTGTTTGACACGCCAAATTTTACTATGGACCATGAAGTATGTATCATTCTAGTTACAATTTAGTTTCATTTGATAATATTATTCTTATTGTAGTTTCATTTTTCACACACGTTAGTTTCATTATAGCAATATCAAGTATCATTTTAATTATACTAAACTTCATTTGACAATATACATTATTGAATAAACTCTTTTTTCTTTTTTTAGTTTAATTTTCTACATACACTAACTTTTCATTAAAGTATCATTTTAATTCTATTCCAGTTTCATTTGACGACAATGGTCCACACAACATTGTGTAAACCATGGTCCACTATATAACAATTGTACATACACTTCTCAAGGAATAGAAGATATATACTAGATCTACCAATTATGAGTATTTATTTACCAAATAATATTTTCTCTTAATATTCATCTCATGATGTACAGTAAAAGATGGTAAATATTATTAGAGGAAATTAAAACATCATTCTTGTTTACCACTACCTTTAAAAAAAATTAAATTAAATGGTTTATAAAGAAGATATTCTGGGGGGTAAGGGATTGGGGAAATACAAATATCGTGGTAACATTAAATATACGGAATACAATAGTAATTCTGTTTTATTAGTTGGACAAGGTGTAATATTATACACTGCAGCACATCAACAATAAATTAGATCTCACATAAGCTGCTTCCTTTGTAGCTTACTAAATGATAGCATCATGAGAATTGAGAACTGACCATTCATTCAACCTGCAGCCCTTGATACACGTTGATTATCAGCATATGGCATCAGGTAAGCGGTAAGCCTTGAAGACCAGGCTGTTAATAAAAAGTGGTGAGGCTGCTGATGCACATCGTAGCTTACTTAAAAATCGGTGTTCTATAGAAGAAAGTGATCAATCATATGTTGTATAACGTCTGCGCCTTCTGAATGTACACTCTGGACTTTGACCTGCAATTTATTTTGCTGGAAAATATGAAATTGTACTTTTCGTTTGCAGTTTCCATTCCATTAAGAAAATTGCTATAGCTGAAGAGTATCGAGGGCAAAAAAGCAACACACAGACCTGGATAATACTATGAGCAGCGAATTTTATTCTGCTTGTATGGAAGCTGACATCTACTTTCTCCCATGGCACACGAGATAAAAATGTCACCAGTTCCTCTGCATCATATAGCCCAAATATAATGGAGAACTGGTGAACAAGAAAAGAGTGACAGACAAAGCACCAGAGAACAGAAAAACACCGGGGGGGGGGGGGGGGGGGGGGGGGGGGGTAAGTACGAAGAAAGGCTACAAACCTTCCAGCTTGTCTTGACAATCATCCTCCATAACAATAGACTCAGCCTGATCACCATCACATGCCTTGCACCGTTCTTCATACACAATGTGTGGATATTTCTTGTTCAAGGATTCTTCCCACTACAATCAAAAGAATAATATGAAACCACCGATAGCAACAAAGATGTGACAATTTAAGAATATAATACCTTAGGCAGTTCGTTATTTCTTCTTATGCATGATGTTCTCCAGCCAACAATATCTAAGCAAACACAACTATTAAGGAAAAGTGAAATTCAGTATTAAAAATGTAAGGTACAATAATTGTTGATTCAGCAATGCAATTAGGATACGGTCATAAGCAACATTTGAATAAGTCACTCGGCGCTTGAATGAACGCAAGGCAGACCTGCAAACACAAGTTTTGAAGTAACATAAATGTACTTCATATTACATGCACACACATTCATTGCTAGCTGTGGCATCTACAATTTCAAATGAGGGCCATCCATGGATATGACACAAGGTAGTTGAAATAACATACATGAAAAGCAATTCACCATCATCTTCCACCATGCGTCTAAGTAATGGAGGCTTCCCTTCATCATCATCCCTTAGGAAAAGGTGTCTGCCTGTTCTCCTGAATATCAAATGAATCACATGGCCCGCAACTTTCTCAAAGGCAGTAACTCCGAAAAGAAATGGCACCTGACCATAAGCTTAAAACAGTCAGGACAGAAAAGAGTGGTTGAATAACTATTGAAAAGAAAACTACTAATGAAGTCATCACATTTGATTGAAACAAGAGTGGTTGAATGTCCTTTCAATTAGAAAATCTACATTCCACAAGATTTAGCAAGCAATAGAATAGAGATTATTCATCTCATAGATAAGAGTAATATTTTCCCACCCTATCTCGTGAACCCAAAAAACCTCAAGGTAAATAGCAAAATATAGACTACATACCTACAATCGGCAAATTATTGTGTGGACCGAATGTACATTTTTAATATACTAAATGTACATTATACAATATAATGTACACTCAATACACAAATAATGTACATCCCCTGAATACAATATACATTTTTAATATACTAACAGTACATTATTTTTGTACTGAATGTACATTATTTTACAGTATACAAAATATGGTCCACAAAATAATGATTGCCTACAATCCTACATGGCTTTTGGATCAATAGATTTTTGGGGTTATAAGCACCAAGATCCAACCCAACTTGACTCAAGAACTATATTTAAAAATCTGTATCCCCCTTCTTTGCTTTGGCCTTTCAGCTTTGTAATACTTCACCTAAAAATTTGGGTACCTGAACCATACATCGGGTTCAAACCCAACCTGGCCTGATGCCCATCCTTAGAGATAATGTTTGAGAGTAATCAGACACTCCAATATTGAGCATCCACTTATTAACTAGTTTTGTGGATGTTTAGCATTAAACTAAGTGTAGGCATTCAACATTGAGAAGTCAATAACAGAGATCCTTTCATACTCAAATGAACTGTAGAAATTGATTTGGAAAACGGGATAATCTAAAAAGCGAATTTCAATGTGATCTTAAAGGCTAGTCAAGGCTACTACAAGTTCACAACCAATATTTGGTCCAACTATCAGCTTAACAAGAATTTCATAAATCGAAAAGGCTACATATTAACTTAGAGACCATACCATAGTATGAGAAAACCTATACAGTCCAATATTGCAAAAAGAGCATTCCTTTGTAATATAATTTTGTGGATGTAGAACATTAAACTTAAAGCAGACATTCAACATTGAAGAAGTGTACAGGATACCTGCTTGTTGCCCCTTGATCCAAGATGAGGTGTGGCAACAGTGATAAAATTCATTGGTTCCAAACCAGCAATGGTGCCCTTTGACCCTTCTTCAGGGGTATCAGTAGATAACTCCTCTGTATTTTGCCTTCTTGTGGATCTATATAGTCTGCCAATGGTATATCTTGCTACAAGGCCTCCAACAGAATGTGCAATAAAAGAAATCTTCCGTAAACCAGGCTTTTCTTTTATTAATTCAAGGACCTATACATAGAATGTGTTTAATTCTACTGGCCAGGGAGGCAGGAGCAAAAATAATTATAGGTATTATATCAAGACAAACCTCTTCTGCCAATCTCTCACCCATAACATCAACACCATCCAATGTTAGGATAGCCATGTTACTAGCACTACCTGCAAAACAAGTAACATTTACTAAGGATATTCAAGCAAATCACTTTTAACCAGAGAATGCAAGGAAAGAGAAGAGCAGCGTGCATAGAGAAATAACCAACTTGCAATATCCAGTATTCTAAATAATGTCCCATGAATGAACCTAACAGAATATGCATAGATAAGAACTGCGAGAAACTTCATGGCATAATGAGCTTACAATGAACAAAAACTTTGTCAGGGAGTGCCATGACGAATTGTTCTGCCGCGAACTTCCAATCTGTGGTACTGCAGTAACATATGGAAGCCCGAAAAAAAAAATGAGTAGCTGAATAGTTGAAGCATTGATCATTTTCTACTTGAATAAGACA